ACAAATCCGATCAGTGTCTCACCTCTAAAATCTACAAGATACTGCAAAACCTCAACAACAAAAAGACAAAATAACCCAATTAAAAAATGGGCAAAGGATATGAACAGGCACTTCGCCAAAGAAGATATTCAGGCAGCTGAACAGACACATGAAGAAACGCTCACGATCATCAGCCATTAGAGAAATGCAGATCAAAACTACAATGAGATACCATCTTACCCCAACAAGGGTAGCATTAATCCAAAACACACAAAATAATAATGCTAGAGAGGTTGTGGAGAGGCTGGAACACTTATACACTGCTGGCAGGAATGTAAAATGGTACAACCACTTTGGAAATCGATTTGGCACTTCCTTAAAAAGCTAGAAATAGAAGTACCATACGATCCAGCAATCCCACTCCTTAGAACACATCCTAGAGAAGGGCCATCACACGAATAGATATATGCACACCCATGTTCACTGCAGCACTGTTCACGATAGTAAAAAGATGGAAACAACCTAGGTGCCCCTCAATGGATGAATGGATTAACAAATTATGGTATACTCACACAATGGAATACTAAGCAATGATAAAGAACAATGATAAATCCGTGAAACATCATATGGAGGAATCTGGAAAGCATTATGCTGAGTGAATTTAGTCAGTCGCAAAAGGACAAATATTTTATAAGACCACTATTATAAGAACCCAAGAAAAGGTGTAAACACAGAAGAAAACATTCTTTGATGGTTACGAGCGTGAGGATGGAGGGAGTGGGGTATTCGCTAACAAGATAGTAGACAACAGTTATCTTAGGTGAAGGGAAGGAAACATTCTTTGACGGTTACCAGGGTGAGGAGGGAGGGAGAGGGGTATTCACTAACAAGATAGTAGACAACAATTATCTTAGGTGAAGGGAAAGACAACACACAATACAGGGGAAGTCAGCACAATTGGACTAAACCGAAGCTAAGAAGTTTCCTGAATACAACCAAACACTTCGAGGGACAGAGTAGCAGGGGCGGGGGTTTAGGAACCATGGTTTCAGGGGACATCTAGGTCAACTGGCATAACAAAGTTTGTTGAGAAAATGTTCTGCATCCCACTTTGGTGAGTGCCTTCTGGGGTCATAAAAGCTAGCGAGCGGCCATCTAAGATGCATTAATTGGTCCCCACCCACTTGGAGCAAAGGAGAGTGAAGAACACCAGAGACACAAGGAAAGTATTAGCCCAAGAGAACAGAAAGGGCCACATAAACCAGAGACTTCATCAGCCTGAGACCAGAAAAACTAGATGGTGCCCGGCTACCACCAATGCCTGCCCTGAAAGGGAACACAACAGAGAGTCCTTGATGGAGTGGGAGAAAAGTGGGGTGCAGAACTCAAATTCTAGTAAAAAGACCAGACTTAATGGTCTGACTGAGACTGGAGGGACCCCAGAAGACATGGCCCCCATACTCTGTTAGCCCAAAACTAAAACCATTCCCAAGGCCAACTCTTCAGACAAAGATTAGACTGGGCTATGGGACATAAAATGATACTTGTGAAGAGTGTGCTTCTTAGCTCAAGTAGATACATGAGACTAAATGGGCAGCTCCTGTCCAGAGGTGAGATGAGAAGGCAGAGAGGGTCAGGAGCTGGTTGAATGGACACAGGAAATCTGGGGTGAAGAGGAGGAGTGTGCTGTCACAGTATAGGGAGAGCAACTAGGGTCACTTAACAATGTATGTATAAATTTTTGTATGACAGGTTAACTTGAATTGTAAACTTTCACTTAAAACACAATTAAAATTAAAAAAAAAAAAAAAAAGACGACGACGACAACCCAATTAAGAAAGTGAAGATTAGCAGATAAAAATTTAATTACATACAGAGTAAAAATATACATATATATATTTTTTAGGACGCCATGATGACTGGAGTCCATCCATTAAGGCCTACCTAAAATAATAAATTGATTAAAGAACAATACTTTTAATATATTGAAGCCTTATGAGTTATACTAACAGAAGGTAGCAGTAGGCAAAAATGATTAATTTTAGACTCAGAGAAAATAAAAAGTAGACCTTTCATTAACAACATAAAAAATACTTTGTTGCTTAGGCCAACAGTAATATCTGTTTGCTACTGCTATATACACAATAATTTTACAGGAATAGGGTGGAAGCCCAGAAGGAGCCTAGATAACAGTAAAGACACTAATCTGGATTAAAAGTTTGCCCTGGAGAGAAAATGCAGAACAGAATTTCAAATTCTTGATGAATCCAGACTTTATGTAGCCATGGAGGCTAGATGAACCTCCAAAACTACTGCCCTGAGATAATCTTTAAACCTTAAACCAAAAATATCCCCTGAAGTCTTCTTAAAACCAAACAATAGCTTAACCAGTAAAGAATGTCTGCTTTGGGCATTGTGTACTTTTTAAGAACTATCTAATGGGATCAAATTGACAACAGCAACTTGAAAGATTAGATAGGAATTTAGGGGGCAGAGAGTTAATGTAAATGGGGGAGGAACAATTTGGAAAAGTGAGAATGGCTGCACAACTTGAAGAACGTAATCAATGTCACTGAATTGTACATGCAGAAATTGTTGAACTGGTCTATGTTCTGTTGTGTGTATCCTCAACAACAAAAATAAATCATTAAAAAAAAGAAAGAAAAAATGTTTGTCCAAGTATAAATAAATTTCCTGTTTTAAATAAATCTGTTTCTGCTGTGGAGCCTCTTTTGTGTGGGGGGCGGGAGGCATAAACTAGCAGATTTAGGTCAAATTCAAAGTAGAAGTTACCTTGAACCAAAGAAAAAAAAACCAAATCTGTTGCCATCTAGTCGATTCCGACTCATAGTGACCCTACAGCACAATAGAACTGTCCCACAGGGTTTCCAAGCAGTGGCTGGTGGATTCAAACTGCAGATCTTTTGGTTAGCAGCCGAGCTCTTAACTACTGAGCCGCCAGAGCTCCGAAGTTACCTTAGACATCCTTATTTCCTTAAGATGGCAGTCCTATATGACAGACCTCATTTGCCATATCAGGTAGAATTTAGAGACTAAAACACCTAATTAAAATAGTCAGGAATACATAATGACACTCCCTCAGGTAACCCAAAGAATAATCTACACCATATTAATGAAAAAAGCAACAGTAAACCAGGATATCCTGAGGGAACTTTAAATGATCCTACGCTGTCAGCTCCTATAACCTGCAAGTCTCTCTAGTCCACTAAAAGAAGGCAGGATGCCCTACTGCTGACACTGCCTACAGTGGGCTATGAAAATCACATGAGGAAGTCTCTCATCTGGAAAAACAGTCTTAAGGTCTTTCAACAACCCTTCATACATAAAGTAAAATATGTAACATACTGCTTTTAGCACTATTCTGACCCCAGACTTGTGAGAAAAGGAAGACACTTAAACACCCCTGAATGTCATCACAGAAAGAAACAACATGGAGTAGTTTCTTCAATCATCCATGTATCTCCCATCATTTCTAGGTCACAGTAGTAAACGAGCAACGGAATATTTAAGATGAAGCGTTCATCGCGAGAGACTGTGACACAGAGTGACAGAAATCTTTGCACAGGGTCCTTTGATAAATATTTAACAGCTGACAGAAATGAACAGCTCTCCTTCCTATTCTCCTTCAATTGTTCAGAAACTACCGGTAAGCCATTAAACACGCCTTTATATTCATATCAGGCTATACATTATCAGAGCATCATCTCAAGAGCTAGGTACCTCAAAGCAAAATAATATCAATAACTTAAAATATACTCTCCTACATGTTCCTCAGGGCTAACTTCACAGTAGACAATGGAGAGAATCTAATAAACATACGTATCAGAAAGGAAATTCAAGGATTCCATAAGAAAAAGACAGAACACATAACAGGTTTGGTAGAGATATATGAAATGGGATAATGAAGGATTTTATAATGGCTCTACTGCCCACTCTAAATCTCAAATACCTCAGAGCAAAATATTAGCAACTATAATTTAAAAAAAAAAAAAAAAAGTAATAACCCCAAGTTACCTCCTTGTCTCGCATAAAGACTTCCTCCAAAATAACCATTCACTGGAGATGTAGCAGCATAAACAAATATGGCTGTACTGAGCATTGATCCTCTCCTTAAAGGTAAAACAACATATATGATCAATTAAAACCAACAAATTAAAGAACACATCATATATTCAATTGCATTAGCATTAGTTTAATTTCCAATATAAATTTAACAGAAATACAAAAATACTATATCCTAGACTGCAACGGACTTCAAAAGGTTGCCTAGTGAGTGAATTTCTAGTTAAAACTACACTTAAATGATACTATGCTGATTCTAATTTTTTTCATTTGAAGTTAAATTTCCTGACTTATTCTAAACAAATATTTCATATTTCTTTGGCAAAAACATCAAAAGCTGGTACTAAAACTGTTTTGCCATCCTGCAAACCAACCACATCATATGGAACAGGATATTCATCTGTTAAGAAAAATGACTATTCTTCATAACTTGATTCAACTGCTTAAGATTCTTATCTGCTGAGAGGAATAAAAATGGAAGTAGTATAATTTATATTAATTACTATAACACTGAGATTTCCTCTATTTAGTTTCCCTTAAACTGTTAAAAATGATTTTTTAAAGTTCCATAGGTTCACAAGCCAACACTGACTCAGATCAGCAATTCCTAACATCCTCTTCCAACAATTTCGATGAACCCTCCTGTAGAATAAAACTGCAGCCCCCCTCAAAAAAAAAAAAAGCCTAATTGCAAAGAGTAATATTAAAAAGATAAATGACAGTATCATTTACTGTGATATAGAAACATACATAACTCACTAACAATAGACTGTTTCTGGAACTCACCATAACTAGGAAGGTAACATCTGTAGATAGAATATATAACCCTTATCAGTTTGAGCTAAAGAATACTTTTTTAAAGAGAATTTATAAATAACATTAGCACTAATGTGTGCTAGTAGGATATACCATGTTCATAAGTTAATCATCTTCTGGCTAATGATTATTATATTCCACTGTCCACCTTTGTAGAATACAAACACATAACACTCGTCTGCCCAAACACCTACGCTCACTTTCTTAAAAGTAGATGCGTAATTGTTAAAAACATCGCAATATTTAATTGGTAGTAACAGAAGAATTTGTCACTCTCACGTTTAAAAGACTGCTGGTATTAAAGTTAATCAGTTTTAAAAAATCAACTTTTTTTTTTTTAAGAACCCGATTAAACACTGCAAGTACTAATTTATTCTTCCAGACTATCATTAACAAACTGGGCTCATATTCTGTTTATAAATGTGGGGGTAAAGGCTGACATAGGCCTAACCATGCTGAAAACTGAAAGGCTTTCAGTCTAAGACCAGTCTAATACCAATGAGAAGTTCCTAACACTGCCAGAAAGCGTTCGAAAGATTGCTCACATGACTAAGAGTCCAAATGACAACCAGGTATTTAAGTCTGCCATCCCTTAAATGAAGTGGGAGTGACTGTCAAAGCTTTACATAGCAGATATATTCTTCACTTCTTTGTTTATAGATAATGTATGAGCGCTTTTTTCCCCCAAAACAGACCATTTTCATCTACACTGAAAAATCTGCTGAGGCAGAGAACTGTTCTTACTCATCTCTGCAAGACTGGAGAGAGGAAAGCCTAATGAGCTGCTTCAACTGCACTTGCCACCTCACCATTCACTACCGAGTTTCAGAGCAGCAGCAGCATTTTCACCAGGCTTACCCTTTCCTTCTCAAACCTGGTGCCTTCTCAAGCTAATATCACATTATACTAGGCCTCCCTCCACATTAATGCCAATCCTCTACCTATACCCTCAAAATATTTTTTTCTTCTCTGATTGCTATGGTAACCACAAAGGCAAAGTAATTTTCGCATGCTATATTATCTGCTCTTTATGCTTCAGCATCATTCCTACTCTGGAGTGACTCATCCCAATTTTATGTGCAAATTTCTCATTTTCTCATCACTTTGTATTTTTATTATCTCTATTTTCATTTCCATAGCATAGCAAATTAAGAGAAGAGTTCTGGAATAAGAGTGCCAAGGTTCAAATCAACCTAAAAGGTTCAAATCTCAGCTCTATCCCTTACTAATAGCTGTGTGGTCTCAGGCAAGTCCCCTAATCTCTCTGACCTCTACTTTCCTCATCTGTAAAATGGAGATAAGAAGTCCCTTCACAGGGTTGATATGAGGATTAAATGAGCAAAATGTGCAAAAAGCACCGAACATGGGGCCTCAATAATGTTCGCCACTTTTATATAACGATCATACTCACTGCAATGTTCTTGTTAGGTGCCACCGAGTCAGTTCTGACTCAATGCATTAGTACTTATCATATAGGTAATTAGTTATGTTTACTTCAAGGACACACAACACAGAACAACAACCTACAGTAATGACAGACTAAAATAACAACACATGACTTGCCTGCTAATTCCATCTATTAGAAAGCGGGTTCATATTTACAAAACTTAAAGGTTTGTTAAGTAGAAGCGTTAAAAATATGAATTGCCTAAATTGTAACACTAACATTTTGGGAAGGAATAAAGCAAAAACTTGGATTCTAGGAGAGGTTACCGTCTAGTGGCTCATAAGACTACGACAGTAGAGTCAGCATCAGTTTGGCAGGGATTAATTTAATCCACTATTCAATGTGAAACACTATTTCTTGGCAGATATAAAGGTTTTTCTTGTATTTGGGATTTAGTTAATCTGAAATATACCCTAAAATACGAATTATTCACCAGAACTTTGAAGTTTACATTTTCGTCCATTATTTTAACACTTGTGTGGTAAAGAAATTACAAAGGTTTTACTAAAGAAACATAATAGGAACTACACAGAAATAGCTTTGTCTGCTGATACACACTCAGTTCAGTCCAACAAGCATTGACTGAGTACCTTCTACGTGCAAAGCTCTTAAAGTAGGTACTTTGAGAACTCCAACTAAATTAAGACACAGTGTTTGCTCTCAAGGAACTTGTTGTCTAGTGGTAGAAAGAAATTTAGTGTACAACTAAATAATATACAACTAAAGAGCCATTTTATTAACAACAGTTCATTGTTTATCCACCAAATGCCAGGCATATATAAGAAAGAATGTATTATGAACTAAAAAAACTGAAGGAAAAAAGTGTCATTTTGACTGAGGATTTCATGGGGTTGTAGAGATCTAAAGTGCCTGAATTATAACTGCTGCCACCCAGGCTCAGAGCATGTTTGCTCTCATGGGAGGTCATGGCTCTCTGACTACAAGGTTATGGGACCACTAATTGGATCTTGGGATCTTTATGAATGTACAACTTTTTCTTATAATCCAGAAGACCTCAAATCAAGAATTTCTTGCAAATGGGTTTGTCTGCAAAGAAAAAAATGTACCAGAAATCATGGAGAGATAGTGTATTAGCTTAGGATTTTTTTTTTTTCATTAAGTCATCCAGTTAACTTCCTAACCTTGTATGACTCTTCTACCACTCTCTTTTTACTATTATTTACAATGGTTTTTCTATTCTGTAGAGAGTCTCCTGGTTTTGGAGGTTAATGTGAAGTTCTAGCTCAGTTAACTGCAAAATCCTCGTGCTTCTTATGATGATCTGATTGGATCTTACGCTTTCAAAGAAAAGTGCCCATTCACTTTGTCAAACAGCTCTGGAATGAAAGTAACCTCTGCTCATACCTCTAACGGAACATAACCTTTTTAACCAACCAGAACACTCAGCAATGCCTGTAACTTTTAGCATGTAACAGAAAAATATCATTATAACTAAAGATTACTGTTCACTATTTAATTTGTCAGAAGTAATGATTTTTATGCCATTTACATTCTAAGGTAATTAAAATAAGCAAATATTTAATATGACTGAAGAGGCTCCAATGATTAAAGGTACTCAAAAACAAAACAAAACAAAAAAGTAATATATTTAAGCACAAGCACTTACTCTGTATATAAATCTTCTATCATTGCAACAATAATAACAATGAGAGACACAGCAAATATCTGACATCCAGAACCAATGAGAGAGGAAAATATCAGTGGGTGACTTGACGGTCTAAATACATCTCCATGCACCTGCTTCCATCCATATTCATCTCCTAGGTCTCTATCCTATATATTTATGTACAAAGAAGAAAATCATTCAGAATCAAATTAAAATATAGATGACAGGTGAAAAATTACAATTACTGTTATAAGCTTCCTCTCACCGAATTTATAGCTATTTCAAGGGGTTCAAAATACCAAGAAAGGACATTTCAAATTTGAAACAATCATAGCCTGAAGTGTTGTGGTATTTACTAAAGCTCAGAAAGGTGGCTCCTGGTTATGCCCAAACAATTTCAAAGAATGGAAACAGAAAAGATCTGGGAGCAAGAAGAAATGGTCAAAGTAGGAGAACTGTACACAGACTCTCTTCACCTCACTTTCAGACACTATTGATTCTCACCATTTACATCATGATTGTAAACTCCCAGACAACCAGGGCCAGGTGGAGAGCAGAAAAGCGGTATTGATACCAGTACTAGATACCTTAACAGTGCACAAACGTCCTTTATATCCCAGAATCAAAGAAAATATCTCGTAAAAATATCCAAAATTGATGTTTAAATTTAACTGTCTATAGAATTTTTTAAAAAGGATACAATATTTACTTCTCAGCCAGAGTAAGTAAGTATCTAAAACAGTGTTTCTTAAGAAACCACAGTCCCTCAAGATAATCTTTTGGGGAAAATTCTAGTCAGATATATTTGAGAAACACCAAATATTTTATCTACTCTTCTGATGCTTCACAATACACATTAGCATATTAAATTTTAAATTTGTTTAATTCTGTTTCCCAAACTGACAAATTTTTTTTTTAATAGGTATAATGTAAAATGTTTGCTCACCATATCATCCATTTCTTCTTCTTTACTGTACCGGGCATAATCTTTTCTTAAAGTTCTCATTAAAATCATTGAAACTAAGCCCACCAAGAAGATAACCATCATGAAAGAGTTGAAAATTGAAAACCAATGAATCTAAAATAACAAATAATAAAATGTTACCAAACATAAAACATCAGTCACAAAATTCATAGGTTTCAGGATGATAATTGCAATGTTAATGTAAAAAAGTCTTTTATGATCTTTTACATAAAAATCCAAAAGTAACAAACTGGGGATGAATATTCACTATTAGAGGGGTTGGCTTTCTTTACAGTAAGCTTCAGATTCACTGAAAACATGGTATCATTTACACACACCCTAAGAATCTAGTTTATTATACAAATAAAGTACAATTTGGCCATACGGCATATGCTATTTTGCTTTACAAGAGGAAGAACATGGGCTTTGGCGTCAAAGAGGCCTGGGTTTAACCTAGGCTCTGCCAATTTCTAGCTATATGACCTCAGTTTTCTCATCTGAAAAATGGAGGAAATATTTAATTCAAAAGTGATTTGTGAAGCTTAATAATGTGTACACAAAGTAAGGCCCAAAGCAGTAGATTATAAATGTTAGCTCCCTTCCCGTTAACTGAGCAACAACCTCAAAACCTCTTTAAAATACCAGGACTACATCACTACAGTTGTCTGCCATGGACTTAAGCCATCTTCCCAAATGACTCGCTTCGCTTGCTTTCAAGCTCATCCTCTCCATCCTGTCGCCATCATTATTCACTCCTTTCCACATGAGCTACCCATGGCACATGGTACATGTTACACTGAGGTGCCCCATAGTTCTTCAGTGTTCCCAAGGCTCTTCATTTCTATTTTTCCCACACATTAGTCGCAAAATTATGCCCAGATTCTGGCTCATAATCACTACATACTAGTGTATCTCTGAAGTCTTAAACTCAGTGCATATGTCTTACTTGAACTAGGTCTGTGATGTGATACTGTCCAGTAATTCCTTTATTTATATTTTAACTCCCAAAAGTTCCTTAGAGATAATCCCAAAATGTCTCTTCTCTCTTCAAGATCTGGATTCTATTCTTTCACCTGCCCTCACTTGCAGATGATCCTGTCTTCTGCTATCCAGCATGACCTTCTGTATTTATCCTACTAGCCTTTCATTCTTCCTGTCAATCTCCTAAAAGCTGTTACCCCTCTGAAATGAATCTTTCTACTAAGCACTAGATCTCATCCAATCCTTGAGTTGTTTCTTTTCCTCTCTTTCTGCACCTACCCCTAAACCTCTATCCTTTACCAGTATCAGTAATCTCCAAGGGTCTTAAATCTTTAATGGTACCTGATGGTACCTACTTCCTGGGGTTGTTCTAAAGTTTAAACCACGAAATAAACGAAAGGCATATAGCACAGTGCTGGCACATCATAAACCTAAATAAAATTTAAAAATTATTGTTATTACTATTATCTTTTAAAGTTTTTGTTTATCTACTGTCCCTTTATTCTTCCAATCTTCTCATCTCCCCTCTTTCAATTCCAGTACTTTTCACAAATGAGGGGACTATATGTTCTATTTCTCCCCTCACTTACTCCTATGTTCAATACACTATCACTTCTGCCTCATGAACTTTCTCTCAAAGGTCTGCAATGAACTCCTAAACTGATTCAGTGGCCAATGATGTGCCCTACTCTCCTTGATCGCTCTGCCACATTTGACGATCCTGACACTACACCATCCTACCTCACTGACTGCTGCCTCTCCTTTCATCTTCGATGTCTGCTCCTCCCACCTTCCCACCCTTTGTGAACTTTTCCAAAAGCTCCAGTCTTGGTACTCCGCTGTGACTTCTATAGGCTCTCAGAACCTTTAACTAGCATTCCAATGATTATATGACACCCCTCAACCCCACCCTAAATCTCCAGTCCTTTTTCTCTCTCACGTTTCAGACTTTTCCTAACTATGATAATTTCCAGTTGAATGTCTTTCTGGAATTTCAGACTTAGCCTGCCCTAAAGTAAACTCATAATCTTCGCTCTCATGTATAATGCTCACTTCTGATTCTCTAATTTCTCCTAATGGCACTTACATTCGGCTTTAAAAATTCAGAATTATCTCTGGCTCTTCCTTCTCCTTAATCTTTTATAGGTAATAATTATTAAGCCTTTATTTTCCTTCAAAACATCTCTTGTATCTATCCTTCCTTCACTGTTCTCATGCTACCATCTCACACCTTGATAGCTCTAATGGTCTCTGAGTTGGCCTTTCTTCACTTTTGGTCTCTCTCCTCCCTCTCAATCTACCTGTAAAAGTTATAAAACAAATGTTTCTGAAACATCATGTTCAACGTATCATTCCTCGATCTAGTATTTGCAGTGACATTCCATTCTTTCTCTCATGTCAAATCTAAACTAATATTCTATATCCCCTGTAACCTGCCACCTCGCCTTATCTAACCAACCTTTCTTTCATTATACCCTATTTCTAATCAGGCCTGTCCCTCCTCAGTGACCCCCAAGTACAGCATACTCACTCCACCTCTGCATCTTTCTCATTTCTTCTCACATGGGATCTATTTCTACCCACTTTTATAAATTCTACCCACTTTTTAAAGCACCCTTTTCTCTATAAAACCTCTAATATACATATTTCAAGTCTTCATAGATGTCCTTCCACTCTAAACTCCTATAGGTACATAGATAAAAAATTTAACATAAGGATGTATTGTCCCATACAATTTGGACAGATTTTAACTTGAGCTAACATGCTGTATCTGTGCACCAGGGTTAAGAGCAGTCCTGGATCTGTCACCCGCCCTGAAGCTTCAGGCAAGAGACAAACTCCGTGGCTCTTTCTGAAAAACCAGAGACAGCCAACTGAGTCTCTCTCTTTGTAAGGTCATTCCTTCCTTCACCCAACTATTTGCTTATTGAGCATCTACTGAAACTATGAACAGTGAATGCATTATATTTGAAATCTTTGCAGATAAAAGTTATATAAATTTAAGTTTATCATAAAAGTATGATTCAAAATTTATAAAACCAGTTTATATAGATAAGCTTTTCCAAAGACTGCATATTGTTCCTGCCCTTGGAAATTAATAACTCAGAAAAGGTCAATAGAGAAAAAAAATTATGACTCATATCTTCTTTTAGTCAATTTATCAAATTTTTAGAGAAAGAAAGGAGTTTTTATTTAGTTACTAATTAGTAAGAAGAAAGACTTAAAATGCTAAAAGTTCTAACATGGCTCTCTGCTCTTTTCTAATCTAAGACAAACACAATCTGAGATATAAACTTTAAACCAATATTATTATAATGCACTACTAATAACCTGACATTTTACAATGCTAACATTACCTTATTCAAGAAATTATAAAATGCTATGTGATTTTGAGGTACCAGGGGAAATAGCTCTTAAAAATAATAAAGCAGCAGATGTCAGAAAGGGGTTACTAACCCTACTAACTGCGGCACTGCAGCACCCCCTAGTGCTGATAATCCTAAAGCTGCACCTTTAACAGGACTACCACGTTCAGGACTGCCTGAGCCCACTACCCCACTGAAGGCGGGAAAGGTGGTTCTAGCTCCAGGAGTAGCTTAATAAATTCTTCAGTAGGGACTAAAACACAAATAGCTTAATTTTTTTTTTTTTTATCTAGGACCCAAGGGAAGATCGGAACTAGTTATAGATTTTGGTAGAATCTAAGGGTAGAACCTGGCAGCCAAGATAAAAATCTGAAACCACAAAAACTTACGGGCCATCTCAAAAACACACGATTAACAATCTTCAGAAATCCAGTCCAAAAAGATCAGATCAAAGAATAGAAGAGGCAAGCCAGAAAGAAAGTTAGAAGAATGGGTATATCCCTTCATGTCCTACTGTCTTATCACCTCCATTCTTGAAGGAGGGAACCACCAAAATAAACTTTTTTGTTACAAAGAACCAAAGTTACCTGTACAAAACCAGTACCAAATGTCACTAGACTTATGATCTGTGATCTAGCTTGTATCCACTGGTTGTGGGTTGGAGGCATTTTTTCCCACTCTTGATGTTTCTTTCTATGTGGAGGGATCTCTACCAGCAAAATCTCCTGGCTTCTCTCCATTCTCTCATTGCTTCCCAGAGGATGCGTACATTTTGCTCTGTTTCACCACAACGTAAATTTTACAAGGGCAGGTGTCCATGTAGGGAAGCCTGCAATAGTCCAGCCCTGTCTGAGTGGGTTAAGGCTGTTTAAGTCTGAGTTTCAGTACTGAGAAGCCTGCTTGACCACAGATATAGGCCACATTCTCTAATATGAGCCTCATTAGTAATAAAAGTGATATTCTAGTTTCCAATATGCTGTATTTCCCCTTGTGTATCTCTTAATTGGTTTAAACCACAAGTGTGAAGAAGAGACCTTCTGACTGCTCATCTAAAACTCCCTAGTACATTTATGATCCTGAGCTCACGCCTGAAATCACCATTAGCTAAATATTCGAAATCCACAGCCATCAGTACGGTGTTCTGCGTATGGTCAATAATGTTTGTAAAATTGATTTGTGCACATACTGAATGTCTTAAAATACACAAACTATTTACCTACCCTGTGTTGAAAAAAAGATGGATCAAGATATTTGTCAAATCGATCTTCAAATTTTACATCTGACTTTTTCCATTTTACCTGAAAAAAAAAAAAAAAATTCAAATTAATAATCTGATGGCCAAACTCTGAACAAAGATTTAGTTTACACACTTAGAAGTAATAAAATTTAAAGAAATGGTATGGAAAGTTACTGACAATAATTTGAGAAATTGAAACAGGTATGATAAAAAACTAACCAACTTTCTACTCTACGTATTATTAACAAAATACAACTCTACCTAGAGAGATTATTTCAGTTTTCAAGGACTATTTACTACTGCTGACTTACACACTCTGACCTGATAAACGTGATAATAACCAAATTAATACAAGCTTATGTCACAAGTATTTAGATCAATTAAAATAAGAATCTGTACATCTCTGTATTTTGGTTGCATTATTTTTATTATACTTACAAATTTCTTTGTAAGTTCAGTTATGCAAATTTATTTGTACTAGGTACGTATGCATAAAGCTTGAAAAACTTGTCAAAACTGGCTACTAGCAATGGATTCCAGTTATCAGGAAAAAGACTGACAAAGAGAGAGGCTACCTATGGAGGATTTCTTTCTCTTCTTTCCACTATTTTTAATCCTAATGGAGCAAAATTAACTTGACAGTTGCCAAAGGCCTCTGACAAGCTCTTACTCTGCAGGAATATCTTATTCCAAATGATAGAGCAAAACATGGTAAACTATACCCATCTGGTAATGTTCAACACAGCATCATCTGTATCTGCAACAGCACAGAGACGCAGAACACGAAACACTGCAATCTAAAAATGTGACCATTAAAATACACAGCTGGGTTAGCCCAACTGCCCAGTTACAATGGTAAGCTTTGCTGTAGCAAACAGTAGGTTCTGCAAATGTATAACTGGTGTCTAGTACTACAGACTTGAAGCAAATCTCCCTGATTTTAGGAGGCTCACTTAGATACAATGAGGAAATACAGTTTTAATAATATTCTGTTGCATCCCATTTCAAACTACATTTTCATCTACTAAATTCCAGAGTACACATTTAACGATTGATATTAGAGCCCAGAAACTTCTTTCTGCATACAAATTATTTTAATACTTACTGAATATGACATCTGGATTTTTGTATTTGGAACCAGTTTCACCTTTCCCTCACTAGTTAGATTAACATCAACAATTCGATTTCCATTAAAGCCGATTTCAAGTTTTTTGTAGGTCCAAAGATAGTAATCTTCTCCATTTTCATCTGCTTCACCAACAATACCTACAAAAGAAATGATACTTTATGCAGAGTCCAACCCAAAAACCTACTGCCATCAATTCCAACTCAAAGCGACCCCACAGAGTTTCTAAAGCTATAAATCTTTACAGAAGGAGACTGCCACATCCTTCTCCCACGGAGTGGCTGGTGGGTTTGAAACACTGATCTTTTGGTTAGCAGCTGAGCGCTTTAACCACTTAATTCTTAAAATAACCCAGAAGCTAAAAGATCATTATTTTTTTAAATAAAAGATCAATATTACCATTATTCTCCAAGGTTAGATAGAACAAGGCAAAAGCCTTGACCTCTACTGTTCATTAACTACTTGGCAAGCACACACACACCATGGTCATACCATGGTGAAAAAGTGATAAACGGCTCAGGATAATCGCAGAGCAGCTGGTGGATTCGAACTGCTGACCTTTTGCTCACCTAAAATACCTTCTCTTTACACCTCAAGTCTTGGACCTGTCCCTGGAAAGTCATCAAAATGAAAAGGAGAGATGAAGAGAAATAGTAACAAGAAAAAATTAAAAATTATCATTTTGATCATAATTTGGGATATTGGAAGGGGACTATCCAAAGTAAAACTGTGTGAGGGCAAAAGGTGATAGGTGAGGATCCATTTCTTGCTCTCATACAGTCAGCTATTTGTCCAACGTTCCCCACCCAAGCCTATATACTTCCCAAGAGCCTTACGCTCCAAAGTTACTCCTTAAGGCATTCCCTCTATGGTCAGTGCATCTCACTAAAGTATTAGCAAAAAATACTTCTTATTAAGGATACTTGCTTTTTAACAAAAGTGATTCTCTAATTGGTAGAAATTCAAGGACTATAATTTTGTTTTGTTTGGGGTTGTAGAGGGATAATGAAATCCTTCTAATAATTAATTTCATTAAGATTTATTTGCCTATCTACTCTGGAAACCAGACTTTGGGAGTGGAGACACAATTATACCAAACAGGAAGCTTTCTCTAAGGGTTCTTTAAGGCTCTGAAATCTTTACCCCAAGAAAAGCCAGAAAAAAATTTTTTTCTGAGAAGAATTCCCCATGGTTCAGACATTCCAGGATACCCAACAGGACTTCTCAAACTATGGCATGCCCTGGAATTCCAGGGCTATAAAAGATTTATTTTAAGACAGGAAAGCACAGTTGCCATTGTTGCTAAAGCGGTCCACAGTAATGATTGAAAAAACCTAAGGTTCCAGACAAAAAACCTCATAAGCAATGGAAAAGAACAGGAAGAAACTTTCTCTGTCCTCAAAGGACTCAACCTGTTCTCTCACCAAAAAAGGAAGAAGCCCAAACTAATGAGTTCTCCTGAAAATATGGGCTCAGAAGTCTTCAGTGAGTATTCAGCACATTTTCCTGCTATTCTCATAGCTGATCACAGACATGTCTGTGTTAACATAATACTAATTAAGGTTATTTACATGAAATGCTTACTATTTATACCTAATTAACATACAACACAAAAGCGATGATGCATACAATTATGCCTTGAGATTAACTTTCTTATAAATTTCATCTTAGTACAATATAAAGCTTTTACACGTTCAGCCTTTCATAATTTGCTGCTCATGAACACAGCAGTCTACTAACAATTTTAAAAACTAGAATATAAATTTCATACAAGAGGAAATGTCCAGAAACCTCCCCACGCCCCAAAAAACAACCTAAGGGGAAAATGTGATCAAATGTGCTGGCTATGACAGTTGGTTGTGCTTTGCATTTAAAATAATTTAATCAAGTCCAACACAAATGATTTTTGGATTATGCATAAATTAGTATTAACTATACACTAGATCTTCTCTATTAATACAGATAAACAGCTAAAACAAAAATGTTTTAAATACAAAGAATTTTGGAAAATAACAGGAACTAGCAAAACAAGTCATTGAAAAGACTGTCATATCTAAAAAGGATACCACCACAGTACCATGTGAGAAAAGTGGTACTTCAAGATGGGGTAGGGAGGATATTTCAAATTGTTCCAAGCACCTTTTAATCTTAAAAGCTACACTGTATATAACAGTAATATTCTGGGGGGCTTTCATGTAAAGATTTGGTGATATCAAAGACTGTTCAAGTAACAGAGGCCCATACAATTGGTATTAAAATCATTCCGTGGAAAATAGTGAAAACAAATTTACTGATCCAGTGCATATTTACCTTAACAGAGTCATTACATAAAAGTTGCTTATTATACAAATATTCCTGAACTTTAAGTATGACACACAATACTTACCCCATATTGGTAAGTCATCTATATACATCTGGTACCAGTAGTGATTTTTTATAGCATACACAAATGCATCTCTCTTTTCTTTATCTAAGTCAATTTCACAGTAAGTGGCTGGCATCACATCATCTGCATGAAATAAAAATTGCCAATTAGCCCACTCGCTTGCAAGATAGTTATAGGAAAAGTAACACAAGAAGAAACCCAACATTTCCTGAAGTTAAAATTTCTATTCATAATAGCAGAAGCTGGGTGATAGATACATGGGGATTCAGTATACTCTTCTTTCTTTTTTGGTTTTTGAAGATTTTTCACAATAAAATCATTTTAATCATTTTTATTTTCAAAGATTATTTTACTAAGTGAAGAAATTTTCTCTTATATCCAGAAAACTATACAAGAAAGTTTACAAAGTAGCTTTAAAATGTGTAAAATTGATTTTAATTAAAAAAAAAATATAAAAAAGTTTTCATTTAATATATACAGAAGTTCAAGAATATGTATGACTCTAATAGAGATTAACAATTTCTAGCTATAAGATCTCTGAGACCAATATCCATTTTAACATTCTTGGTAAGGCCAGTTGCTATAGGCCAGATTCTATAAACAATGCCCATGACTCTTCAAAATTTGTACAATTACAGGTAAATCTCTATCTAGCAGGTGTCACTGCTTAAAAATTACCCAGAAGTTCCCTAGAGATGACTCATTCCCATTCCTGACTGCTTTCAAAACTACTGCTACCATAACATAGTTCAGATGGTCTCCAACTTGTAAACCTAGTGTTTAAAAAATGTACTATGGTCATTAGTTTCTAACCAAACCAAACAAAAACAAAAATCAAAAAATCTGCAAACAACTCTAAATGCCCATCAAAAGGATTAACAACAAAACAAGAAAGCACAGTTGTTTGCATTTAAGTTCTCCTATACTATAATATTGGTTATTTAGAATCTGAAGTGTAATTTCCCAAAGAAACAATGTTCAACCCGTTAAAGATTAAAATTATGAATTCATAAACTACAGATTTAATAGCTGCCTATAATATTATTTCTACCAGAAATGGCAATCTGAGTTCTAACTCAAGAGACCAGCAGCATATCTCCCCAACCCTCAATAGGCAGAACTGATTTCCCCTAGTATAGCTCAGCCCAGAGTGGGTTATCCCAAAACTACAACATCGAAGATGGCAGGAAACTTTGAAATCCCATGGAATAGGGATAAGGAAACACTCCCACTCCCAAAGTGGGAGAAGAAAACTGCTAGGTCTCCAACAATAAAGGCTTCCACACACATTTTCTTTCTAACCAGGCCCTTCCAGGCAGCAAGGAATTAGGATTTTCATAATGGTAAAAACTGAGGCTGAGCAGAGAAGTGAGGAAGGGTGAGGAAATGAGATTGCAATAATGGGCTGCAATTGCAGCAGAGGCTAGGAGAACTGGAAGCAAGAGATCCCCAAATGGGATCTCCATGGAGTCTCATAATGAAGAAAGGGCAAGAGACAATTGCAACTACAGAGGAAACAGCCAGACCAAAGAAAGTCTAGGTTTGAGCAGAAACACTCGGCTGCGGTGGCTGTGGGAGATCTCACAGCTACCTCTGCAAAGCCACTGGATTTCTCACTATTATGGGGAGTTATAGACTGACATTCATTGATAACGGTCATAAACGATTTGGTAGTTTTAAGTATGGAGTTCTGAGATAGACAATATGACATTTACCTATATTAAAGCTTTTAAAAGGTCAATGATTCCTCAAAGCCTGACCTTTAGTTCAACTCTCTTTCCCAACTGATTTTCTATCATCCTCTCTCCGATCACCCTATGCTTTAGCCAAACTCGACTATCTGCTGTTCCCACACATCTTGCCTTCTCTTGACCTCTAGACTTTTTTGCTCCTGCTGTTATATCTGCCTGAAATGTCCATCCTAAAATCTTCCCTATCCCTCCACCTAGGACTCTCTCGTTCACAGAGCCATCCCTCATTTCTCGCTCTCTACACCTCTCATACCCTCAAGGCCTGCCCCTTTCTCTGAAGTCCTCTGGCTTTCTGTCCTTACCTTCCTTATGGCACATAGACCCGTACCATTTTTTTTTTTACCACTTAGCTTCTCAAAAAATACTATCAGGTCTTGAAAGGTATGTTCTTAACTAATTATATCCTTTTTACCCTCAGCCATGCCTGCTTCAGTGCCTTGCACAGAGCAAGCAATAAACAAACAAAACATTTTATCAAATTTTAATAGCATGATTTTTCATCTGGCAATAGAAATCAACAGTAATACTGGAAATCAATAGTAATATTAGAATACGCACACATATACCTGTGTGTGAACAGTGTGTGTGTGTGTTTGTGTGTGTGTGTGCAAAGGGAGAAAATGTCAATATAAACAATGAAATTTTAAAGCAAAGTATCTCAGGCAATTGACAAAGAGGTTTTGAAGAGTCTCTTTCACTGATATGAAGTTTAGAAACGTTGTGGTAAAAGAAAAAAACCTATAATCATGGCATGCTGTAAAAAACGAAATTCCTCTGCTAGGAATACAGGCAAAATGCATACATCACAAATAACTGAAGAGCCTGGTTGTCCAACTAAAACAGCACTGCTCTCAGGAGGGAGCCGCTTTGAAGATAACGAACGCAATGTGTCTGAATATGCCAAATCATATTCGGCAATCTAGTCTACCTCAAATTCAGCAACACTTTGGCAAAGTCTCTATGAAATCACTATAGACAAATGTATACAGAAATGGACAGGAAATGTGAGTTTTAGTCCCAGCTCTACTCTATCACTTACTAGCTATGTGAATAAAAGCCAGTCATTTAACCTCTGTGAACCTCAGTTCCCTCAGCCATAAAAGAGATAACATCTACGCCATCACCATGCTTTCTCCTCCCCAGGGTTGTTTTAAGGATTGAAAGTACTAATATATTCACGGACAGTGTTCTTAAGTTTCCTTGAGCCACATATCCTTTGAGAATCTGATGAGTGATGTCTCTGTTCCCCCAACAATGCACATTCACACAATATTAGGCATACAATTTAAGAGGGCTCATGGACCCCTAAAACCAGAGCTCCTGGTTCCTTTTTGTATAACCAGAGCCTATCACAGTGCTGGCATGCAGTAAGGAACTTGGTAACTGCCAAATGAATGAAAAGAAAAATACATATATTCAGTTAATTAAACTATCAGATACATAAAGAGTATTGATTAACTGGCCAACCTGACTGGCAATATAAACTATACAATTCTTTCTAGATGCTCTTTGGCAGCATGTATCAAGAACTGTCTTAAAAATGTTTATAACCTTTGATTCAATAATTCCACTTCTAGGAATTTATCCTAATGAAAGATTAAGAGATGCATTAAAATGCTTACATGCAAGGATGGTCAAATATATTATTTCTAATATCAAAAAAAGAAAACAGAATCAGAATATCTCATAACGAGGAAATGGGGGAAATTATAGAATATCAAAGTTACAGAATACTATATCCAAAAAACCAAACCACATCCATTGCCATCAAGTCGATTTTGACTCATAGTGACCTACAGACACAGTTTTAAAGAGTAATTGACAATATGAAAACAACTTCATAATATGTTAAGAAAAAAGGAAAATGAAAACTAATTTTTCATAACTTATGGGTTTGTTAAATAAATATTGAAAAAGTCATACACATACCACAACCTCAATTCTTAAAAAAATCTGGAACAATGTGGTTGAACAGAAAGAAGAACAGAAGGAAAGATGGAAAAAAATATACCAAATGTTAATGGTAATGATCTCCAAGTGATTTTTATTTTCTTCTTTATATTTTTCTGAAGCTTCTAAATTTTATACAGTGCACCTATATTATTATTAAAATCAGAAAAGCACATGCATATACATTTATTTGAAAACAGAAAACAAAAAAGGTATCAGTTTAGAGGAGAACAGTATTATCAGTGGTTTGAATGGGACTCATGAAAAGCCCATGCTTACCAAATTTGATTTGCAATTAGCACAAGGTTTAATGAATTGCTAATACCAAGAACTAACAAATTTAGGATTCAAATTATTTGGTCAGCTTAAAACAATTTGGTTGAAAATAGGACAAAATATTGCATCAAGTTCCCAAATTTCCAATTAAACAAGGCAGATTAACCACAACTATGTTTCTTCTTTCTCCTGAAACCCCATTAAAATGTCAGTAAAGGAATAAAAAGAATATAAGCTCACAAGGACAAAAGAAGACAGTGGACAAAAGATTTCAACAAATTTTTGGAAAATGGAAAACAGGTGGAAGATGGCAAATGATTAACAGAGCAAAGGAAACTATAACAGAGGAAGAATACCTATAAGAAAGGAGAGGATTAGTGTCACAGAACCCAAGAGACAGTGAGGACTTGGAGGCATCAAGGACCTTGAAGCATAGAGGACAGATGTAAGGCTAAACACATAGGCAACATATGAAAATGTGTATACGGAGAGGCTGGACTTCCGGGTCCCTCGCCATTCCATCACACAGCCAGATGAATACCCTCAACTCCTCCCCTGCAGCACACCAGAGGTATCTTCCTCTAGAGAACTTAAACCAGAGAGGCTCCAGATTCAGGGAGAGCAGAACAGTAGAAGCTAGGGGCTGAAAACAGAGTGAAGACTACCTTAAGACAAAATCTTCAGTCTGAATGACAGGACCCATCTCCCTCCATCCACCCCCCACCCTTTGGCATTCAGGCCTATACCACCACGGCAGATATCTGGAGGGAAATACTGCATAGTGATTAAAAGCTTGAACCCTAGAGCTCAACTGCCTGAGTTAGTATTCTCACTCTGTCACCTTCCAGCTGGGCGTCCTTGAATAAGTTATACAACCTCTCTGTGCCCCAATTTCCTCCTCTGAAAAACAGGACTAATAAACCTCATAAGCTTATTTTAAGGATGAAAATAGCCAAGGTTCAGAATCATTGAGAACTAAAACTAAAAGCAGCCCTTGGCATTTCTCTACATCTGCAGTACTCGCAACTTACATTTCACTCTAGAAAGTAGAGAAAATACTGGTGAAACAATTTCAACCCTCAGTTAAGTTGGGATATTCAAGGAAGAGAAAATTTAAGGGGAGATTTAAAAAAAAAAAAAAATAGGCGGAAAGAATCCTCTAGAAGTCAGTGATTTTTCAATGATTAACATGCTTCATAATACTGCAAGAGTTCTCAAATGGGAAGAAATGGAGGATGAGCAGTGCCCTCCCCTGGTTGAGAATTACTATTCCAGATCATCTAATGATCATAATGAACTACAAATTATCATAAGAACGAGGCACAAACAACCCGGGTGCTAGACAATTTATTAGGAGCTCACTATGTCTTAACCGGGATATTGGTAGTTCAGTGGTAGAATTCTCACCTTCCATCCAGGAGACCTGGGTTTGATTCCCAGCCAATACACCTCATGCACAGCCACCATCTATTTGTCAGTGGAGGCTTGCGTGTTGCCATAATGCTGAACAGGTTTCAGCAGAGCTTCTAGACTAAGACTAGGAAGAAAGGCCTGGTGACCTACTTCCAAAAAATGAGCCAATGAAAACCCTAAAGATCACAACAGTCTGATTCGCAAGCAATCAAGAGGACTGCAGCATTCTGTTCCATTGTGCAAGGGGTTGCCATGAGTCAGGGGCCAACTCGGAAGCAGCTAACAACAACGATCTCTTAACAGCTAAGGATGCAGTGGTAAACAACATAGCTACCATCCCTGCCCTAGCAGAATTAACAGGCTAGCACAGCAACTTCAGGATAAATCAAATCCTGTAAGCAATAAACTAATTTAACATTTCATAACTACTAATGCAAAATCAAGCTGGAACTACAGACCCACACTATATGCTATTAGTATTCATAACAACTACCGTTTCTTGAATGCAAACCATGTATTAGTAACTCTGACACATTTTCTACATGCATTATCTCATTTAAACCTGACAATTTTACCAAGTGGACACTATTTGCCACATTTCACAGATGAGGGAAATGAAACTCAGAGAGGTTAAATAATTTGCTCACGATCACACAGATAGGCAGAGGCAGAGGTGGGATGCAGCAAGTCTCTCTGACCCCAAAGCATGTATGTTCTTTCTACTCCATGTGGGCAAGGTTCCAAGAGATATCCTCTAATATTAGAGGACAATGAATTCAGGCCCAGTTAAGAGGTGCCTAATTTAAATTTTCTCTTTTCTGTTCCCCCTTCCACTTTTCTTTTCAAACTTATTGTGATAAACTATACATAACAAAAAATTGCCATTGTAACCATTTTTAAGTGTACAATTCAGTGACATTAGTTATATTCTCCATGTTGTACAACCATCATCCCTATCTATTTCCAAAAGGTTTTTTTCATCACCCCAAACAGAAACTTGGTACCCCTTTAGCAGTAACTACTCACTCCTCCTTCCCCCAGCCCCTGCTAACCACTAATAAACTTTGTTCTCTATGCATTTGCCCATTCTAGACACTGCATACAAGTGGGATCATATAACATTTGTCCTTTTGTATCTGACTTACTTGACTCAGTATAATGCTTTCGAGGTTCATCCACATTATACGAAACATGTATCAGAGCTTCATTTCTCTTTATGGCTGAATAATATTCCATTATATATCTATACATATATATCACATTTTATTTATCTATTCATCTGCTGATGGGCACTTGGGTTGTTCTGCCCCATTTAATGTATTGTCTCTAAATGGTCTCAATTTAGCATTCTGTCTAGTGCTAGTATGTAAGACTATTTGGAAGAAAAAGTTGTACATAAACTCTTAAGTGAGAGGCATCCTACATTAGACTAAGACTATCATTAGTTCCTTACAATAGCCTATTTAGTGACCCTCATTTTACAAGACAATACTAATCCCTTTAGCCTGATGGAACGTAAAACCAAAAAAATCATCGCGTTGATTCCGGCTCATAGCAACCGTACAGGACAGAGCAGAACTGCCCCATAGGGTTTCCAAGCAGTGCCTGGTGGATTTGAACCGCTGACCTTTTGGTTAGTAGCTGAACTCGTATCCACTAAGATACCACAGTTTCCTGATGGAAACTATTAGGTTAAAAAAAAAGTATGTCTGTGAGTACATATAGTTTTTTGATTTCACAATCTAAAATTTTATTTTCTTATCTGAATATACCTTCAGAAGAACCTTTAAAAATAAAAATTTAAGTGATGGAAGATTAACAATATTCGTATTTCTACAGTTCAAACAGACACAGAATGTTCTCATTTCCATTATTTTATGAGTATGCTGCGATAAAGCTTAGGCAACTCACTTCATCTCTGGGCCTCCCTGAGAGGGAACCAGGTGACACAATCTCTAAGGTACACTCCACTGTTAAAAGTCTATGATACTGTAAGTAACAACCAGGAAGCCTCCTAAAACACTTTTTTCAAAGCATGTCAACTTTATCGTTGAACAGGGTAAGCAAAGGACTACAGTAGAGGGGAAAGAGAAATCTAATAGCAATTACAATTTCATCTGGACTATTTAGCAGCATCTCTGCTGGAGGTGATATGGTCACAAGATCCCAAGGAATCGCCAACTCCCAGACAGCTGGCCAGCTCTTCTCCCTTTGATCTAAAAGTGCCTAGTCTAAAAGGAAAATAAATCCCACCTTTATTTCCGATGAAAACCATCTCCCTCTATTCAAATAATCTTGCCATCTCAGCCTCAGAAGTGATGAAAGAAGAAAGGTTAAGAGAGCAGAATGAGTCATTCATCAAGTAAATGAGGATGAAGATTTTAAAAATTGATGGCAGCTGTCCATAGCTGCAAAGTAGGACTCTGGGTTTTTGTCTATTCTCTCTCTAGCTCCTCTTTAAAAAAAAAAAAAAGGAAATGTGCACCAAATATGGAAAAGAGGAAATTAAGTGAATAAAGTTAAGTATTGAGGCTCTCAAAGATCACATATTCTAGTCTAAGTTTTCACTTTATTTGTGATTAAATATTTAAATTATCTGATTAAATTAAAACACAAGCCTCAGAACACACTTACAATGATTCATAAAATTATAGGCCATGCTTCTGTGGTTTAAATTTACAATTTAATTTTATAATTAAACCCCAAGGAATACCGGGAAGAGCGGAGGGGTCACAAATACTAAGACCTATTTTCACCAACAACGAAAATTCTAAAAACAAGGATAACATTAAACTAAATCAAAGTTAAAGTGACATTATCTTTCAAATATCTTGTTTCACACACCCCCCCACCCAACTTGCTAAAAATACCAGAAGTCAGTTGCTATTCATTTTACACATGGAGACAATGAAGTTAAAATTGTAGTAAATGACTTTACTAAAAGCAATACAGTAAAAGAAAGGGGATTAAAATTCAAAACTCCTGATTACAAGATCTAGGCTCTATTCAAAATCAAGACACCTAATCAAAGATCCTGCAGAAATTCAATAACTCAAGCTTCTGCTCACCAGGTTAAAAATGCCTGTGCAGGAAATACACTCACTGACAAACTTCAAAGAAGAAGATTAAAGTATAAACACACTTAAAGGACCTGATAAAATAGATACCTGCATAATAAATAAATAGAATTTTTTCCCAAGTTTAACAAGTCTTTAACTTAAAATTTAAAACCACACTATGCTGCAAGTGTTAAGAGGGTAAATTAACACACTGATAAATACACGCTGAGCCAATAGTACAAGTGTGAATCTGAGGGCTCTATACAAAATTTTTAAGTACCCATACACCCATTACAGCCTTGCACCTCCAGAAATTACTTCACTATCAATCTGTGTGGGCCTTACCTAGACATATATGCCCAAATACTAGAGGGTTTACTAGAAAACACTTTTCAGAAAGAAATAGCTTAGGGAGATATCATTTTATTAACAGTTATTTTGTTATCTTACAAATACTCAAATCTTTGTTAGTTACTAATGTATTTTCCTGAATGCAATACACTTAACTCACAGATTGATACTTTTTTTAGAATCTAGAGCAGTAGTTCTTAACTGAGGACAATTAGCAATGTCTGGAGACATTTCTGGTTGTCACAACTGTCAGGCTGGTACAATTGGTATCTAGTAGGTAGAGTCTAAGGATGTTGCTGCACACCCTAGAATGTACAGACAGCCCCCTACAACAAAGAATTATCTAGCCCCAGATGCCAACAGGTTGAGGATGAGAAACCTTGGTCTCAAATCTATTTAATTTTAAGGACTACTAAGGTTTACTTACCTTTGAATTTAATATCCAGACCACTAAACTCCAATTCAACTCCTTGAAGTGCTTCTCCTAGAGTTTCATGGTAATGACTAATACTTTTTTTTGACCCCACACAAAATGGAAGTGAAAAGTATTTATATGTCTCTTGTCGATTATGGTAAGGCCCAACAGTATTCATCCATAAGACAACTTCTTCTTTATCTTGATACTGAAACAAAAAAAGTAAGTAAGAATAGGTTAAAAAAAAAAAAAAAAGGGAATAGTTATTTGCTCTAAACAAAAGTGTTTGTACCATTTCTCTTCCGGAAACTATAAAATAAAATATAGGAAGCTTACTTTAATCTGGTGATCAATGTCCACATTAAAAATTAAACTGTGAATTTTAAAATAATACCTTCTGATTGTGGCCTCAGGTAGATTCATCCTTCCCAAACTGATAAAGGTTTTATAGAAGACAACACTTAAACAAAATCCAGTATGCTCACAAGATGTTTAGAATTAATATTTATACCATAGTAAACCTAGAACCAACATGATTCACCATGCTAATATGAACAAGGAAGGAGGAAGCAAAATCAACAGATTATCCAGAGCTCTTTTTAATCATTAGAAACTCCAATAAGCCAATGCTGCCAACCAAAAACAAAAATGATAAAACTTCATCTCCTTTCTAGTCTTTTGAACCGCCCTGGTCAAAGTACTAGACAGGAGAGAAACAAGAAAAAAAGAAAAGCATACTATATCTCCAGTTCATTCAAGCCAACCCTCTATCTTCTCGTTCATCAGCCTGAGAGATGTGTACCATATGCATATTTTTTAAACAAATAATTATGGCTCTACCCATATCTGAATACTACATAGCTAAATCTGGAGTCTGATCCAATGACTTTAGGTAGGTGACTTCACCTCTCCAAGGTCCAACTGGTGGATCTGCCACAGATTTCTAAAATCCTCTGAAATTTAGAATTTCAGTGATTCTATGAAAAGTAATTACCTGGGTAAACCAGTTATCCTAATTAGCAATATAAACTAAAGATAACATAGTATGCATTTAATCTGGTGATTAAACATGCATTTAAGTCAACTAAGCATAGAAGTCAGTAAATTTATTGAACAACTATTTACTAAGTACCCACCATGAGCCAACAACTGTGTTTATAACTGAGGATACGGCCTTGAACAAGACAGACGTGTTCCCTGCCCTACTGGAGCATAGAGTCTAAAGGAGAAGATGGACATTGAACAAGCAATAATACGAAGGCAGGGTTCCATGGAGCATATAACAGAGAAAGCTATCCTACCAAATCCTTCTTTCAAGTTCTCCATCTTAATAATTAATTAATAAATAATTAATAAACATTTTCAATCGAGATCCAACATCTCCAAAGCCAAATTAATCCCACTCAAATCTATTCCTCCTCCACCCTCACTTTGTTTTTCTAATGTTATTACCATTCTCTCAGACATGGAGACTCAAATCCCAAGACAACCCTGCATTCCAGAGAACTAAATGCCAACTCGTCTGCCCTTACCCAAAGCATCTGCTTCTCCTTTTAATTTACACAGTCATCACCCTAAGACTTAGATCCAGTCACCTCACCTTCAAACGCAATAAATGTCCCAATGTTCATATAAGACATCATCCAGGTCATCAAGGAAATAAATTATCTCATTTTTAATACATAAGAGACATGTATCAAGCATTGTATTAGGTATTAAAAAAAAGCCATCGCCATCGAGTCACTTCTGACTCATAGCGACCCTACAGGACAGAGTAGAACTGCCCCATAGGTTTCCAAGGAGCAGCTGGTGGATTTGAGCTGCCGACCTGTTGGTTAGCAGACAAATGCTTAACCACTATGCCACTAGGGCTCCACTAGGTATTAAGGATATAGATAAATAAAATACTGTCCTTCTCTTTAAGAGGTGGAGTCAGACAGGTAAATGATTAACAATAAAGAAATAAGCGTTACAAGAAAATCCAACACCTCTACAACAAAAAGAGAAATAATCCAATTAAAAAATGGGCAAAAGAAATGAACAGATACTTCACCAAAGAAGACATTCAAGCAGCCAACAGACACATGAGGAAATGCTCCTGATCACTAGCCATTAGAGAAATGCAAATCAAAACCACAACGAGATACCATCTGGCCCCTGACATTACTGGCTGCAACTCAAAAAAACTGGAAATAACAAATGTTGGAGAGGCTGCAGGGAGATCGGAACTCTTATGCACTGCTGGTGGGAATGCAAAATGATACGACCATTTTGGAAAATGATATGGCGCTTCCTTAGAAAGCTAGAAATAGAAATACCATACGATCCAGCAATCCCACTCCTACGAATATATCCTAGAGAAATAAGAGTCATCACACAAACAGACATATGCACACCCATGTGTATCACAGCATCGTTCACAATAGCAAAAAGATAGAAACAACCTAGATGCCCATCAACAGATGAATGATAAACAAACTATGGTACATACACACTATGGAGTATCACACAACGATAAAGAACAATGATGAATCTGAGAAGCATCTCATAACATGGATGAAACTGGAGGACATTATGCTGAGTGAAATAAGTCAATAGCAAAAGGACAAATACTGTATGAGACCACTACTGTAAAAACTCATGAAAAGGTTTACACGCAAAAGGAAACAATCTTTGATGATCACGAGGGATGGGAGGGGTGGGTGGGGGAATACTAAATAGACAATAGGTAAGTGATAACTTTGGTGAAGAGTAAGGCAGTACATAATCCCGAGGAAGCCAGCACAACTTGTACAAGGAAAGATCATGAACGCGTCATAGACAAATCTGAACTCCCTGAGGGACCAAACTGCTGAGCTGAGGGCTGTGGGGACCGTAGTCTCGGGGAACATCTAGCTCAACTGGCATAACATAGTTTATAAAGAAAATGTTCTACATTCTACCTTGGTGAGTAGTGTCTGGGGTCTTAAAAGCCTGTCAGGAGCCATCTAAGATACTCCACTGGCCTCACCCCTTCGGAAGCAAGGGAGAATGAAGAAAACAAGATACAAGGAAAAGATTAGACCAAAGGACTAATGGACCGCAACTACCACGGCCTCCACCAGACTGAGTCCAGTAC